CCAATGACCTCTGTACTTCACTATACACTGCTTATATGAGGTATTTTCAGTGTTTTAGATGCCTATGTGTGGCATTATGTTATGGTATCATTATATATAAAGACTGTGTCTAATGTCTTATTCCCCTTTGAATTGTCAGCCCATAATAGATTGCTTGTCACTTAATCCTCTGCTTAAATTTGAACTGCCACCAGACACCTATGGATTCATCATAAACGTCTAAAGTCTCCCACATTAGTACATTTCTTGATGAATGCATATGTGCCCATTATCAATGTGAAAATAGAAAGGTTGGTTTAGTTTTCTACATATAGACTCAGCAAGTGACTTTTTCTGTATTCATTTCCTATATTTTATCTTATATTCTANTTCCTTTTTTTTTTTTTTTTTGCTTTTTTATGAGACGGTCTCTCTGTCTTCTAATAGTTACCTTTATATCTTTAAATATCAAAGTATAGATATGAGTATATTAACTTCAGAAGTGAAAAGATTCCTTGATTTCTCCTTACTTGAGAAAAGACATTAACACCCTTTTATCTCACCCTGCCGCCCCTTCTCTCATTCTTTCCATTTTTGTTGGCACATTCTGGGTTTTACCCCACTCTCTAGTCAGATTATTACTATAGCATGCATTTTTTCATTCAAGAATTGTGAATATATTGCGGCTGTGGTTACCACATGGCGCCATCTGCTTGCCATCCTGGTTAGTGTTCCCTGTTGGGAAGCTGCTCAGCAAAATGAAAGCTGCTAAGGCTCTGCCATGGTGCAGTCACTCACATGTGCTTCTTTTGGTCTTCTCTAATCAAGCGTGTCCTCTTCGACATGTCCTTGCTCCCCCCCCTTTCCCCAGTGTGGGTTGCCTGTGTCTTTAGCCCTTATCTCAAGTTCAGGGGTTTGGCACCCCGAGAGCTCTCTTCTTTACACTTTAACACTGACTTGTTTAAGATTAGAGGAAGTGGATGCTTCATGATGCTTCCCAGGTCTTTGGGGTCCATCAGCACAACTTTCCAGACTACCTCTAGTAGAGGAAAACCAGTCGTACTTGAAGATATGCCTTTCTTTAAGGACAACCAGCGCACACCCTGTGTGGGTGGCCCTCAGACCAGACAGAAGCCTCTTCCTCCAGATAGCTTCTGCTCCCCACCCTGCTCATTTAGGATCTCATTTACCAGAGCACATATTGAAAAGGAGGAAATGTGAGTTACATGGACATTGTAGTATAGGAAGGGCCTGCCTTGAAGCACATGTTATGGATGTCTTAGCCATTTCTAAATAGAAAAAAATACAGATGGTGTGATTAAATTTATGGTAACCATGTGATTTATTTTCCAAACTAGGATATATTTTGGAGTGAAGGGCATAGATTCAGAGATTGAAAAGAAGAAATAGATCTTTGGCTCTCCGTATCTTCTTGTTATTGTTATTTAGAGGCTTAATTAAGTTCATTGGTGCCAGAAGCTAATGCTGCCCTTCCTGTAACAGCTGCACATACTAAAAAAGACAAGTTCCCAGCAGGTGTATGTAGGGATGACTCAAAAACAAGTATGCTGCCCCAGTGAGGCCAATGGAGTCTCGGTTAACCAACCAAGATTTATTTCAGGAGTGCTTCTGGAATTTACTTCTCTCATTATGTCAGAACATATGACTGATTGGTTTGCTCTTCTGTAGTCTCTGCATTTCCTTGAGCATCTATGCCCTGGTCCTTAGCTGAGCCAGAGGGATGGGGACGTGATTAGAAGGCCATGAAGAGAATACTTTCATGGAGACTTTGCAGAGTGTTTTCTGGAAGGAAGGGCAGAGCTCCAGGTGGAGAGCTGGGCATCTAGCACAGGAAATACGCAGTCTGGATGCCAGGGTCCCAGTGTCTGGTTCTTAGCTCAGGCTCTACGATGTAAGTTAGTTCCCAGAAGCTTCAGAGAGGCCAGAGGTCTCTGTTGGGCTTGCTCCTTTGTGGCTTTTCTTCTGTTGACTCAATTCACCTATTTCATAATTGTATTATTTAAAATTCTTCTAGCTCGCTGGTTCACTCAGTTGGTTCGAGTGTGGTGCTGATAACCCCAAAGTTCAGGGTTTGATTCCTGTACTGGCTGTGGGGGAGGGGAGGGAGATTCTTCTAATCAAAATAAAGTTGATCTAAAGGGAGTTTAGTGCTTTAGATATTACTTTCAAGAACTATATTTTTTCCCAAGAAGGTATATGTTGATATTAAGTCTTTAAGTAAAACTATTTTTCTTTTTTTCTTGCAGAACTCACAGTCTATAAACTTTTTTCTTAAGATACTGATTTTCATTGTAGGAAACTACAACTCAGGCAGGAAACCAAGATGAAGACCCACTAGAAGGTAGCGTAAACCTTGTGCCACTGCCCATCTCCAGGTTCCTCCTTCACTCAGCTGGCTAGAAACTGAGAGATCCTACTGGAAGACTCCACTGTAGGCTGCCTAAGCCGTTCTATTCAGCAATTTGTAATGATTTTAGAAACTGCTTCTGTGGGAAGAGCTCCCACTGAGCTACCCCTCTGGGCCTTTCTGAAGGACTGGGAAGTGGGGACATCCCCAAACACTGAGAGGACAGTCATTTTCACAGTGTTTCCCCTGTAAGTTTAGAGCTTGGAATTAGTTGCATTTTCGTTTTGTTTTTTAAGGGGGATTGCTGTGGTCTCGGGTTCACAGGGCACCTGACAGGCAGGCTCTTCAGTGTCAGGCCAGCGGTGCTTCCTGCAGTGCTTGATGTGTTTTGAAAAGCACAAAGTTTTTCTGCCCAGAGAAGAACCCTGTTTCTAAATGTGTCTTATTTGAGGAAGGGAAGAAAATGTTTTGCCACTTTTGTTGTAAGTAAAAATGTTCGTAATAACTTCGTATAGCATACATTATACGAAGTTATACGATTTAGATATTATTTTCAAGAACTAACTTTTTTCCCAAGAAGGTATATGTTGATATTAAGTCTTTAAATAAAAGTATTTTTCTTTTTTTCTTGCAGAACTCACAGTCTATAAACTTTTTTCTTAAGATACTGATTTTCATTGTAGGAAACTACAACTCAGGCAGGAAACCAAGATGAAGACCCACTAGAAGGTAGCGTAAACCTTGTGCCACTGCCCATCTCCAGGTTCCTCCTTCACTCAGCTGGCTAGAAACTGAGAGATCCTACTGGAAGACTCCACTGTAGGCTGCCTAAGCCGTTCTATTCAGCAATTTGTAATGATTTTAGAAACTGCTTCTGTGGGAAGAGCTCCCACTGAGCTACCCCTCTGGGCCTTTCTGAAGGACTGGGAAGTGGGGACATCCCCAAACACTGAGAAGACAGTCATTTTCACAGTGTTTCCTCTGTAAGTTTAGACCTTGGAATTGCATTTTAGTTTTGTTTTTTAAGGGGGGATTGCTGTGGTCTTGGGTTCACAGGGCACCTGACAGGCAGGCTCTTCAGTGTCAGGCCATCGGTGCTTCCTGCAGTGCTTGATGTGTTTTGAAAACAAAATTTTTCTGCCCAGAAATGAACCCTGTTTCTAAATGTGTCCTATTTGAGGAAGGGAAGAAAATGTTTTGCCACTTTTGTTGTAAGTATTAGGAAAGAGAAATAGAGGAGAAAAGCAGAGAATACGATTTCCTTTTTCTTATCACATGTCGGTCTGGTCTCTTTCTCCGCACTTGAACCCCTGCCCCTACCAGATAAACTCACCGGCTGCCTTCATGAGTTTATTAAAGAGGGGAGCATGTTGTTGTCAGTCTCTGTAGCCCCAGTGACTAACACCAAGTTGCATCTTATAGGTGCTCAGTGTTTAATGAAATTGTTTAAAAGAAATCTTAATATCCTATCAGGCAGTTCTATTTTTTAGTGCTTTGATTTAGATATGAACAAAGGGTGCTTGTTTTAGCTCTTGGGGATTTCCCTTGGGTTAAAGTGTGAGTCTGCTCATCCTGTCTTCATCTGGTGGACAATCTGTAAAAATGATGGAGGGAAAGCATGCAATAAAAGTGTGCTTTCTGGATCTTGACTTCCAGCATTCAAATCCCACTTTTAGTAGCTTTGTAATTCCAGATGAATTAATCTGCAGTGGGTCCATTTTCCCCTTCGGTAAAGTGGGGCTGTTAGTAACTACCTCATAGGAAGTGAAGCATGATTATCTAAAGTGCTTTTAAGTGTTTTAACAGCTTCTGACACATATAACCAGTACAGTGTTAGTCACAGATCTGGCATAGCACTGTCCAGTAGAAATGTAATGCGAAACACAAAGCCATCCACACAGGCAATTTTGAATTTTCTGGTAGCCAAATTAAAAAAAAAAAAAACTTGGAGAGGTGAAATCAATTTTAATAATACTTCTTATTTAACCTAATATATCTATTGTAGACTGAATATTTGTGTCTTTCCCCAAATTCATGGGTTGAACCCGAACCCCCAATGTGACAGTTTTAGGAGAAGGGTTTTCTGAAAGTGACTAAGATTAGATGCAGTCATGAAGTTAGAGCCCTCAGGAATGGGATTAGTGTCCTCATAAGAATCACAAGGCAGCTTGGTTCCTCTCTGTGCCTTCCATGTGAGGATACAACTTCAGGCGGTCTGCAACCCAGAAAAGCACCCACACCAGGACCTGACCATGCTGGCCCCCTGATCTCTGCCTTTCAACCTCCAGAACTGTGAGAAATAACTTTCTGTTGTTTATAAGCCATTCAATCTATGGTACTTCTATAGCAGCATGAAGTAAGACAATATCCAAAATATTATTTCATCATGTAATCAATATAAGCAATTAATGATATTTTTATTTTTTAAAACCAACTCTTGTAGTACGTATCTTTTCCAATTGTATTTATTAGGGTAAAATACACATAACATCAAATTTATTATCTTAACCACTTTTCAGTGTACAGTTCACTGGCATTAAGTATATTCATAATGTTGTTGGGGTTCAGGCTCCCTGGTCGGCCTGGCTGCTTGGACGGCGGTGGTGGGTGGGGCTGGGTGTCAGGTCCCACCCTCGTCTTCAGGGCCCAGTCGGCAAATGGCGCTTGCTTCCCCTTTGTCGCCAGGCCTGTATTGTCTACATTTTAATTTGTCCTTGTGTAAGTCTGTTTCATAAGTTTTGATTATTTTTTCTAGGCATTAAATGTTTACACTATTGGTTCAAATTCGTATAGCACAAAAGACAGAATCAGACAGTCTGGAGATTGCATATGTGTATGTATGTGTAGGTATGGTGTAAAGTTCATTGCCACCAATATTTTACTCTCTCTCTCTCTCATTCAGAACTTTTTTTTTTTTTGGTGGCTGGCCAGTACGGGGATCTGGACCCTTGACCTTGAGATTACCAGTACCATGCTCTGATCCAGAACTCCTTTTATCTTATAAAACTGATAACTCTGTACCCATTAAACAGTAACTCCTCATTCCCCTCTCCCTTCAGCCCCTGGCAACCACTGTTCTGCTTTCAATGCAGTGTATATTTTATCTGTGTGTTACATCTCAGTTAGGGCTAGCCACATTCAAGTGCTCAATAGCCACATGTGAGCAATGGCTACTGCATTGCACAGTATAGGTCTAGAAGACCCTTAGGTTTAGGGAAGATGCAATTAGTTTGTCTTTTATAAAGGCTTCTTACGACTATGGCCAACATCATTGGAAGGGCTCAGATTGTATAATGTGGGGATTGTAGTTAACCACACTGTGTCTATTTTCTCGACCAGAGGTTACAGGAAAGAGGGTGACCACACTCATAAGCATGTGGTCCTGGCACCTCTCTCCCCACCAAGGGGTCCTTTAACAAACAACTGCCCCCACCTGTGAAGGAAGGAGACCTAGGGCACGACTTTAAGAAAGATTCAGAAAGTTCAGGGGAAAAAATAGAAACATTTAATTTTATGACCAGAAGCTCTAAAAGGAATGATGGCTTAGAAGGGTTGGGAAGCTCTCAAGAATGAGAATCAGACAACACAGTCACCAGTGACTTTGAAGAAGAGTGCCATACTGGCCAGCCACACACACAAAAAGAAAAAAAAAAAAAAGAGGTGGGAAGTAGCTCATGAAACTTATGTGATGTGTAAGGCCTATTTGATCTTGGATCTAAAGTGCTGAATACAGAAGGACACTACATTAGTCTGCTAAGGCTGCTGTAACAAAATACCATAGATTGGATGGCTTTATTGAACAACAGAAATCTATTCCTTCACATTTTATTGAACAACAGAAATCTATTCCTTCACATTTTTGGAGGCTAGAAGTCCAAGATCCTGGTTTTAACCACTTTGGTCTCTGGTGAGGGCTCTCTTTGTAGCTTGCAGACAGCAGCCTTCTAGCTTTTCCTCATGTGACCTCTTCTTTGTGCACTCATGCTAGATAAGAGAGGACTGGCTCTCTGGTGTCCCTTTAGATAAGGACATTAATCACATTGGGGCAGGGCCCCATCCCCATGACCTCATCTAATCCTAATTACCTCCCAAAGGCCTCGTCTCCAAATGCCATTGCATTGGGGGTTACAGCTTGAACATATTAATTTTGGGAGGACAAAGACATTCAGTCCCTGACAGATATCACAATTACAAATGAATAGCATGAACCCATGTGAATATTAGGAAACATATCGTGGTCCTGAATGACTTTAAGCCTGTAAAACGTACAAAGGAAAATAGAAATGGCTGCTTCAGTTACATTCAGTGAAAGGAGAGAGAAAAATTGGATTACCTTCTAAACATCAGTTGCCTTAAAGCCTTGAAAACCTCTGGAAACCTGGCAACTTGGACTGAAAATCCAGGCCTAAAGCTTTCACAATAACATAATCCCACCTTGTCGTTACAGGGTTCTAGGTTTCAGAGACGGAAGGCCAGGTCTTCCCGTGTTTCTGAATTAGTTGCTATGTAAAATTTTGTTCTTACATCAATCCGTTAACTAAGTAGATAAGGTGGCATGTTTATTTTTTCAAAGCCCAGTCCTGTAGACCCTGGTCTCGGCTCACTGGTTAGCACTGTATCCACNAATATTATTTCATCATGTAATCAATATAAGCAATTAATGATATTTTTATTTTTTAATACCAACTCTTTGTAGTACATATCTTTTCCAATTGTATTTATTAGGGTAAAATACACATAACATCAAATTTATCATCTTAACCATTTTTCAGTGTACAGTTCACTGGCATTAAGGATATTCAAAATGTGCAACCATCACCACGACCTATTTCAGAACTTTTTTTTTTTTTGGTGGCTGGCCAGTACGGGGATCTGGACCCTTGACCTTGAGATTACCAGTACCATGCTCTGATCCAGAACTCCTTTTATCTTATAAAACTGATAACTCTGTACCCATTAAACAGTAACTCCTCATTCCCCTCTCCCTTCAGCCCCTGGCAACCACTGTTCTGCTTTCAATGCAGTGTATATTTTATCTGTGTGTTACATCTCAGTTAGGGCTAGCCACATTCAAGTGCTCAATAGCCACATGTGAGCAATGGCTACTGCATTGCATGGTATAGGTCTAGAAGACCCTTAGGTTTAGGGAAGATGCAATTAGTTTGTCTTTTATAGGCTTCTTACAACTATGGCCAACATCATTGGAAGGGCTCAGATTGTATAATGTGGGAATTGTAGTTAACCACACTGTGTCTGTTTTCTTGACCACAGGTTACAGGAAAGAGGGTGACCACACTCATAAGCATGTGGTCCTGGCACCTCTCTCCCCACCAAGGGCTCCTTTAGCAAACAACTGCCCCCACCTGTGAAGGAAGGGGACCTAGGGCACGACTTTAAGAAAGATTCAGAAAGTTCAGGGGAAAAAATAGAAACATTTAATTTTATGACCAGAAGCTCTAAAAGGAATGATGGCTTAGAAGGGTTGGGAAGCTCTCAAGAATGACAATCAGACAACACAGTCACCAGTGACTTTGAAGAAGAGTGCCATACTGGCCAGCCACAAAAAAAAAAAAAAAAAAAAAAAAAGGTGGGAAGTAGCTCATGAAAGTTAAGTGATGCATAAGGCCTATTTGATCTTGGATCTAAAGTGCTGAATACAGAAGGACACTGCATTAGTCTGCTAAGGCTGCTGTAACAAAATACCATAGATTGTGTGGCTTTATTAAACAACAGAAATCTATTGCTTCACAGTTTTGGAGGCTAGAAGTCCAAGATCCTGGTTTTAACCACTTTGGTCTCTGGTGAGGGCTCTCTTTGTAGCTTGCAGACAGCAGCCTTCTAGCTTTTCCTCATGTGACCTCTTCTTTGTGCACTCATGCTAGATAAGAGAGGACTGGCTCTCTGATGTCCCTTTAGATAAGGACATTAATCACATTAGGGCAGGGCCACACCCCCATGACCTCATCTAATCCTAATTACCTCCCAAAGGCCTCCTCTCCAAATGCCATTGCATTGGGGGTTACAGCTTGAACATATTAATTTTGGGAGTACAAAGACATTCAGTCCCTGGCAGATATCACAAATACAAATGAATAGCATGAACCCATGTGAGTATTAGGAAACATATCGTGGTCCTGAATGACTTTAAGCCTGTAAAACTTACAAAGGAAAATAGAAATGGCTGCTTCAGTTACATTCAGTGAAAGGAGAGAGAAAAATTGGATTACCTTCTAAACATCAGTTGCCTTAAAGCCTTGAAAACCTCTGGAAACCTGGCAACTTGGACTGAAAATCCAGGCCTAAAGCTTTCACAATAACATAATCCCACCTTGTCGTTACAGGGTTCTAGGTTTCAGAGACGGAAGGCCAGGTCTTCCCATGTTTCTGAATTAGTTGCTATGTAAAATTTTGTTCTCTTACATCAATCTGTTAACTAAGTAGATAAGGTGGCATGTTTATTTTTTTCAAAGCCCAGTCCTGTAGACCCTGGTCTCGGCTCACTGGTTAGCACTGTATCCACCTGGTACTTGTGCCACACTCAGGATTTATCCTTGACTTTCCTTTTCTCTTTCTCCCCAAATTCAATCTGTCCATTTTTCTCCATCTCCTTCACCATCGA